AGGAGATCCTGACGGGAGAGCTCCCGGCCACGAGGCGACCACAGAACCAGGAGATGCTAACAGAGAGCTCCCCAGCCACAAGATGACCACAGAACCTTTTCCAGAGGGTTGGTGGGTGATGTGAATCATCCATCAGTGGTAGGTCTGACCTCTAGAACTCGTCGGCAGGCTGACAGCACGAGCTGCCCGGCCCAAGCCAGCAGCAGTTTATGGCAAGATGAGAGGAGAGACAGCATTTTGGCAGGCTGCTTGCTGGGCGGCCAGGCCCCAAGGGGACCTGCGTGTCCTCCTGTCCGGGTCCAGCAGAGGCCCTGGGATGGCCTGCAGACGCCACACTCCTGGAAAGGCTGGTCGGGGTGGGATTTAGACATCCAAGCCCCCACGAGATGCGCTGCTGTCTGCACAGCCTCGGAGTCTCTCACGTTGGGGTAATGGGCTCTCAGTGTAGTGAGTTTCCATGAAATACAAGTTCCCGAAGAGAACCACACAGAAACCCCACTGAATCTTTCCACCCCCACAACTGTGATTTCACGCAGCACAGAATTAGAACGTGGTGCTTGCTGGTGACTGTGCAAACGGGATTTCCATGGAGCCGGTTGATTCTGATTTAGGAAGTGGCACAGCTCACTGACAAGGTTCTTACAATACATAAACATTCCGAAAACGTGGCAGCGCAAACACTGATCAGAGTATTTCCAAAAGCCCGTCACGTGTGCGGCATCCAGGCCTGGCCGAGGAACATCCGTGTAGAGAAGACCTGCTCCCCTCGGCCCCACCAGCCCTTCCTGTCCCTCCTTCTCCAGCTCTGTGAGCCCTGCGCAAGGGCAGAGGAAGCTATAGCAAAGCTGGGGAATGAGAGGGAAGGTGGACAGCAGCTCTAGCCCCGTCCCCAGGAGCAGGAGCCAGAGCGGGGGCCGACAAGGGGCACTGCCCACACCTCGGGGGAACCTGAAGCATCCACCCAGGGTCTCCTGGAGTAGGGTAGGTGGATGTCCGCAGGGCAAAGCCGGCTGAGGGCAGTGCCTGGAAAACCACTGCAGTGGTCAATTTCTCCCAAGTCCCCATAGGACGTGGATTTCCGGCCTCTCATAGCAATCCCGTCTCTACTAAAAATGCTTCTCCCATGTGACCACGTGTGAGCCGGGGTGTGCTCCATCACCGGGCACTCACCCTCAAGACAGATGCACTGCCACATTTTCATTCTTTTCCTTCCTCCTTTTAAATGCTGGCTGTGGTCTGTTAATTCCACAACCCACTAATGGGGTGACTGCCTGCACTTTCAAAAGCAGTGATCTTGGGCCAGGGAGGTGGCTCACACCTGCAATCCCAGCACTTTGGGTGGCCGAGGTGGTGGATCACCTGAGGTCAGGAGTTCAAGACCAGCCTGGCCAACATGGCAAAACACTGTCTCTACTAAAAATACAAAAATTCGCTGGGTGTGCTGGTGGACGTCTGTAGTCCCAGCCACCTGGGAGGCTAAGGCAGGAGAATCACTTGAATTCAGGAGGTGGAGGTTGCAATGAGCCGAGATTATGCCACGGCACTCCAGCCTGGGCAAGAGAGTGAGACTCTGTCTCAAAAAAAAATAAAAGCAGTGATCTTAGAAACGGAAGCACAGCATGTGCCTGGGGTCCACGTTTGGTGAGTCCATGAATCCACGTGCCACACACAGAGGCTTAGGTGCTGGAAGGGGACAGGCAGCAGCACCCGTAGGCCCAGCACCTGTGCCAGGCAGCCCACACTCTCATGGGGCCACACAGAGACGTAAACGGCAACCACCCATGCGGGAAGGGGTTGGGTCGTGACAGGCGCTAGGCACGATGGTGGAGCCTAGCTGGGCAGGCAGGGGTCGGGGGCCGCCGGCATCAGGCCTGGGGTCAGCGCCATGGTGGAGCCTAGCTGGGCAGGCGGGGGTCGGGGGCCGCCGGCATCAGGCCTGGGGTCAGCGCCATGGTGGAGCCTAGCTGGGCAGGCGGGGGGACAGGGGGCCGCCGGCATCAGGCCTGGGCTGGAGGCAGGCGTTAATCTGAGAACGTGACCATTAGGATGGAATGCGCAGCAAGCCCGTATCCACTGAGTCCCTCACAGCCAAGCTATGAGAAACCATCATCTCTCGGAAAACCAATTTATGGTAAAGTGTGAAATCTCGTGTAGTGCTAATTTACCATCTATAAGAAAACTCAGATGCAATCACGCGACTGGGATCGTAACTTCCAATTCTATGGTGTTTAGTTCAAGAGCTCAACTAACCTTTCCAGAAAGCTTTGGAAACAGGTCACCACAGGCCAGTGATTCTATTGGGAGCCAGCTCTCCTGCTGTTCCCAGAACATTCTCCTGAGACACCTGGGAAGATTATAGGGCCAGCCCCGGCCCCCTGGAGCGAGCACACGGTCACTCCCAGAGATCCACCAGCCCCAGCAACTGCAGCCCTCGGACACGAGGTGCCCACGCCACAGCAACAAGAGGCTGCCCCAGGACACGTTGTCAGGAACCCAGCCCCAGAGAGGGGGTGGGGAGGAGACCAGCCCCAGGCCTCTCTGTCCGAGGATGGAGTGAGCAGCTGCCACCTGCCCCCTCAGAGCCTCACAAGCCCCCCCCCACAGCACACCCACAAGGATGCCAGGGCCACGTACCGTGGTGGTCTTTATCCTCCCGCCGGGCTGTGTGCACGTCCAGCCTGACCGGTTGATTAACAAGTCACAGCCTTCCCCCTCCAGACACGGAAGCATGTCACACCACTGCTTGGTCTTGATAATTCTTGCTGTGGGAGAAAAGAGACAGTCAGCGTACTGCTCTCATGGGTCGTGAGGGTGTTACTGGGGGGACCTGGGTCCTGGCACTGGCTGGAAGGGCCCTCAGGCAGTGCCTGGCATGGCTGCACCCAGGGACCATCACGCAGGGATGCTGGGCCCCGGGGCTTCGCCAGCTTGCTGGCTTCCTGGTTTAGTGCTTACTCCCCGAGTCCTGCTCTGCCCTCGGCCACTCATGGAGCATTAAGAAGTGACCGAGGGGGCTGGAGACCCTCTGTGGAGCAGTGCCCTTCCTGCCTCACTTTCTCTCATCTATAACGCACTGAAGAGCCAGGAAAAAGCAGGAGGAGGGGGTTCCCAGCCAGGATGTCCCTCAGAGGCAGCGAGGGCAGCCTGTGCCTGGTAGGCGACCAAGGGAGCCCAGGCTTGCTGCTCGGAGTAAGGCCGGGCGGGGGGTGGAGAGCTGGTGCTCATCACTGACGGGAGGATGTGACAGCAACCCCTGCCCCGATCCCCACCCGTGCCACGTCTCATCTGCAGATGTCGGGCTGACCCCGGGGCCCGCCCTGCACCAGCCACATCAAGGCTCCAAGACTAAAGGATGTGAGTCCTCATCATGACCTCTGGTCAGGGCAGAGGGCGGGGGTGCGGTGAGGGGCCACTGGCTCCCACCAGCACAGGGACTCCGAAGCCCACAACAACTTCTTCCACGCCACAGAGAGTTGCTTTCTCTCTTCCCTGAAAGCCCACCCCATTTTGTGGCTGTAGGGTTAGGCAGACTGGAAATTACTCTCTACCAGAAAGGCCGAGAATCAAGGATTTAGATGTGACCGTACGGACATAAGCTTCACTGCAGGAACCTCAAGAAAACCATCAGTCATTTCTCAAACCGGGAAAAAATAGTCCTCCTAATGCACACATGATTACTTCTATTAAAACCGGACCTACAAACAGAGGTTGTAATCCAGCTGAAAAACACAGGCGTTCAGATGAGATGCAGATACCTGCCAGGCATTCTTAGTTCAAAGTTAAGTTAGAAACACGCACACTTATACACGCAGCATTCTACCACCAACTTTAACCCTAGGGTTGGAAATCAGGGAAAACTTTGGATCTCGCATGAACAAGAAGTTTGAAAGTTTAGGTCATTTGGGCAGGGTGGCTCACTTTGGGAGGCCGAGTCGGATGGATCAGGAAGTCAGATCGAGACCACCCTGGCTAACACGGTGAAACCCCATCTCTACTAAAAATACAGAAAATTAGCCAAACGTGGTGGCACGCGCTTGTAGCCCCAGTTACTCAGGAGGCTGAGGCAGGAGAATCGCTTGAACTGGAGAGGCAGAGGTTGCAGTGAGCCAAGCTTGTGCCACCGCACTCCAGCCTGGGTGACAGAGTGAGACTCTGTCTCAAAAAAAAAAAGTTTGGGTTCAAGGCCCTAGGAGAACAGATGACATCATCAGACACTGCATTCACTGGTGAGAGCCACGCACCCCGCGCTATGTGCAAAGTGGGTGGACTGCAGGTGGCTCGCTTCACTCCAGCACGGGGAGGCCATGGGGGCCTTCGCCTCCCATCCTCGCCCACGCACAGCTCCTCGGCGTCCTCACTGCTCCGAGTAGCAGCTTGGAACTCACCTTGTCGGATGCGGGCAATTTACATGTGAAGCCCCTTCGTGTTTTCCTTTTAGATCCCTCCCTCCTGGAGCTCAGTGTTTGATGGGTCCACTGGCCCCAGGGATGCAGAGAACCCAGTGTCTGGGCTGCCGCCGTTGCCAGCCCTGTAGACGGGGAAGGGCTCCCTGTAACCCACACCAGGCTGGGCTGCATGGACATCCAGGCCCAAGGCAAGAGTGGTCCCCATGACCTCCAGCCCCCAATTCCTAACTGCAACCCCGGTCCTTCTCACGACACTTCAAAACCCTTGGCTTCCTCCTCTGTCCTGGGTTTTCTCTTCCATGTCACCTCTTTTTCCTTTTTTAAATAAAGCACAGGACTCTCAATTTGCATAAACCAGAAGTGTACTTCCCCAGGATGCTTGTTTACAAAAAGTTCCCAAGATTCCTCAGCACAGGAGGGAAACGGCTGCTGTATCAACAGCTCTGCAAATGCATGTGTGTGCACACGTGCGTGCTGCTGTATAGACAGCTCTGCAAAAGCATGTGTGTGCACACGTGTGCGCTGCTGCATAGACAGCTCTGCAAATGCATGTGTGTGCCCACGTGCACGCTGTTGCATAGACAGCTCTGCAAATGCATGTGTGCACACGTGCGTGCTGCTGCATAGACAGCTCTGCAAATGCATGTGTGCACACGTGCACGCTGCTGTATAGACAGCTCTGCAAATGCATGTGTGTGCACACGTGTGCGCTGCTGTATAGACAGCTCTGCAAATGCATGTGTGTGCACATGTGTGCGCTGCTGTATAGACAGCTCTGCAAATCCATGTGTGCACACGTGTGCGCTGCTGTATAGACAGCTCTGCAAATGCATGTGTGCACACGTGTGCGCGATTGTATAGACAGCTCTGCAAATCCATGTGTGCACACGTGTGCACTGCTGTATAGACAGCTCTGCAAATGCATGTGTGTGCACGCCCCTGTGCTAACACGCTGTCCTCCAGACGTGCGGCTGGTGGGCTTCATGGCTGTGCACCCAGGCTGCTGTCCATAGTCCCACATGCAGGGGGACCACCGCTTGGACAATGCTCTGTGGTTTCCACGTCTTGAAATTCTGAATAATTTGTAACAAGGGCCCCACATTTCATTTTGCACAGGACCAGTCAATCATGTCGCTGGCCTGCAGGCAGTGGCTGTCCCTGTAGGAGCAGTGGGCAGCAGAGGACAGGACCCTGGGGAAGGGCTCACTCCTCACCCCAGGAGGGTGCAGGCCCTGGGGTCATCGCAGGGGAGGCAGGTCTGGGAGGTCGGGGCCCCCCTGGACAGCATCGCAGCCAGAATGACCAGGCTCTGGTCCTTGGTTCCGACAAGGCCTGCGTGAGTGGAGTGGAGTCGAGGTGCACTGGTCATGCCTGCCATAGCACCCACGCATAGGATGCTGTGAGGTGCTGTGTCCCGGTCAGTCCTGCCCTGCCCCACACTGGCCCCTTCACACCCGCAGCCACGGAGGCGGCACCCAGCAGCCCGGCGTGGCGGCACCAGCCCCTTTCCAGGCCAGTGCTGTGGGTGGAGTATCCCCTCAGTGCAGCCTAACCCTGGATCTGCAGATGGGGCCTCCAGGAGGTGAGGAAGGTTAGATGAGGCCATGAGTGCGGGGCCCTGACCCACCGGATGGATTCCTGTCCTTAAGAGAAGACTCCGGAGAGTTCAAGCGTGTTCTCTCTCCACCCCCGCTCTTCCCTCCTCCCCCTCCTCACCCCAGCATGTCAGGACGTAGCAAGCAGATGCCGTCGACGAGCCAGGAATTGGATCCTCACCAGGACCCAAACCTCTCAGCACCGTGATCTTGAACATCCAGCCTCCAGGACTGTGAGAAAATAAACGCATGTTGTTTGAGCCCCTCAGTTTGCGGAGATTTGCTACAGCCGCCTGACCCAGCTGAGACAGCCAGGGGACCAGGAGACATGGGATATCCCTCATTCACCGGAAGTCAGGTGAGGAAACTCTAGCTGAGAATCAGTGGCTTCCCCCACGAGAAAGGAATTGTGCTCTTTGCTCCTGAGGGAACCTCCCGGCTTCCAGGGACATCTCCAGGATGAATAAGCTACCCAGGCAGCGGCTCCCAGACCCTCAGAGAGTCCCAGACACCTGCTGCGCTTCCACTAACCTGAGGAACAGCGTCAAGAGGGGGCATGGTGCCATGAGGGGGACGGCTGGAGACCGTTGGGTGTCTTCCCAGGGCCTCTTTTCCTGTCTGTTCCCTATTCCTGCAGAAAGCCACCAGCAGCTCTCTCCCATCCTGATGCATCGTTCTGGGTGACAGTAAACATGGTAGAAAAATCTCACGCACAAATACGAACCTTAAACCTAGAGGAAGCTACAGGAGAAACGCACACTCCTCAACCCCAGAAATGCCCTTGCGATGGCTGGGAAAAGAACTGAACAAATTATAGAAAGCACCGTGTGTCTGTGTGTGTGCACGTGTGCGTGTGCCTGTGTGTGCGTGCGCGTGTGTGTGCATGTCTGTGTGTGCATGTGTCTGTGTGCACGTGTGCACGTGTCTGTGTGTGCGTGTGCATGTGTGCATGTGTGTGTGCATGTCTGTGTGTGCATGTGTCTGTGTGTGCACGTGTGTCCGTGTGTGCGCGCATGTTTGTGTGTGCATGTGTCTGTGTGCACGTGTGCACGTGTGCCTGTGTGTGCGTGTGCATGTGTGTGTGCATGTCTGTGTGTGCATGTGTCTGTGTCTGCACGTGTGCGTGTGTGTGTGCATGTGCATGTGTGCATGCATGTTTGTGTGTGCATGTGTATGTGTCCACGTGTGCACGTGTCTGTGTGTGTGTGTGCGCATGTGTGCATGTGTGTGTGTGCCTGTGTGTGCATGTGTATGTGTCTGTGTGTGTGTGTGCCCGTGTGTGTTGGGGGTGTGTTTCTCTGGCACCAACGCTGAGGGACATGAGAGGAAGAGGTTCCAGTGTGGCTTAAAAGAAATGCCTCTGTGTGCTCCCATCTGTCCTAGCCACGGTGCCCGGGGTGGTCTTCAGGGCAGTGTGCCTCCTGCTCTCATCCTAAGCCAAACAGGGCCTCAGAAACCCCCGGGTCCCCAGCGCCTGTTGTCTTCTGCCCTAAGAGGCAGGAGCAGGGACGGGGCTGTCTCGGGTTAGGAGCCATTCAGCTGCTGCAAGGACGCGTCTCAGCATCAGCCCCGCCCACTTCGGCACACTCTGCAGCACACGGTGGGGCCTGGGCCATCAGGAATGGGGCTGGCACAGCCCAGAACACCTGGGCAGGGTGGGTGGCGTCCGAGGGCCTGACCTATCTGCAGGGCAGGCTGTGAGAGGGTGGACAGATGGTCCAGGCTCAAATCCTTCACTGCCCAGCTCAGCAGGGACCTTGATGTGCACACACATGTGCACATCACACACGTATACACCACACACATACATCACACACACACATTACACACATATACGCCACACACAGAGGTCGGCGGGCACACACACATGCACACATGTCCATTTAAATGCATGCTCACAAACATGTATCAACAGGTGCAGCACATACATGCACATGTGTACACACACAGATGTGTATCTGCACATGCACCCACATGTACACTCTCATGTAAACATGCATGTACATGCACGCAGGTCATGTGGGCTCGCCTGCTCTCAGCACTCGCAGAACAAATTGACGAGCAGGCGGCAGGCTGCCCCGTCCCTGGCCTGGCCCTCCCGAGGGCACCAGCAGGCCGGCCGTGAGCACACAACACCTTTTGTTTGCTGGCAGGAGCCGGGCTTGCCCACCCCAGCCCACTTCCTGCTGGAGGCGGTCAGAGGCACAGCGCCCGGCCACCATGTCCTGGGTGGGGACAAAGGGCTCTTTCAAACCCACATTTCACAACTCTCTTTCACCCGGGCACGGGTGAGGAGGCCTCTCCTCTGGTCCCAATGTCACAGTACCCCTCAGAGATGGGAAGGTGCATCCCCAGGAGCTGACAGAGCTTCCTGAGGTAGCGTGAGTGATGGTGACTGAAACCTGAGCTCTGGGCAAAAAAATGTCATCGCTCATCCACATGGGCTAACCCAGGGGGTCCTGGGCACATAACAAGTAAAGGGCACAGGAGGTAATGGGCACGTGGGTAATGGACACAGGGGGAAAAGGCATAGGGGATAAGGGGATAGGGTAAGGGCACAAGGGGTAAAGGGCACGGGGTAAAGGGCATGGGGGTGAAGGGCATGGGGATTAAAGGGCACAGGGGTAAAGGGCATGGGGGTGAAGGGCATGGGGATTAAAGGGCACGGGGGTAAAGGGCATGGGGGTAAAGGGCATGGGGATTAAAGGGCATGGGGGTAAAGGCATGGGGGTAAAGGCACGGGGGGTAAAGGGCATGGGGTAAAGGGCATGGGGGTAAAGGGCACTGGGTAAAGGGCACTGGGTAAAGGGCACGGGGTAAAGGGCACGGGGTAAAGGGCATGGGGGTAAAGGGCATGGGGTAAAGGGCACTGGGTCTCATGCATTTCGTGTCTGCAGTGCACGTCTGCAGGATGGTAGAGCGGATGGTAGAGCAGGTGCTCAGGACATCGATTGAGAAGGGAGCCAGGGAGCCGCTGCCTCAGATGGAAATGGGGTGCGAGGGGGGCATCTCAGACTGGGTGTGTCCCGGCTGAACCTAGGGTCTCACCGATCTTGAGCCTCTGTAGGACCCCATAGCCCCCGAGACCCAGCGCAGCCAGGCCCTGGGCCAGCAGCACTTTCTCCACCTGGAAACACTTCTCCAAGGTACCACTCAGCCCCAGTGTCCCTCCCACACCATGCTCTTCATCACACACACATGCCATTCACATACGCAGACACAGGCACACACATGCACACCACACACAGCCGCACGTCCACACACACGCACACACGCCCGCAGGGTGCCCCCTCGCAGACTTGCCACCCACACATGTGCATCATCCCCCAGGCCACCTGGCTCCCTGGCAGGGAGTCCTCAGGTCTACAGAGGGGCGTGCACCTTCCACCGCTCCAGGTCCCCTCCGGGCGCACATTCAAGCTGCTTCCCCAGGCGCAGGCTCCACCTCCTAGGCCTCCCTCGCTTCCCGGGATGACGCAGCTGCTGCGCCCAGATCCTTGTCAGTGGCAGCATGGAAACCTTGGGCTCCAGGAGGGCAGAGTGCAGAGGACGGTGCCCAGTGCAGCTGCAACCACGTTTCAGGGAGGGAGGCCTGCAGGCCAGGGTAGGAGCCGGGCTCTCCCTGCAGTCTCGGAGGGGAGTGGCCTGTGACCGTGCCAACAGCCTCAGGGAGGGACGTGCTGAGAGGCAGGGGCGGGCGGGGCTGGCTGGCCACAGGTCCTCAGCACAGAGTGGTTCAGGCTCCCAATCAATTTGCTGAAAGTCTGATTTGCCACAAACAGTTGGGCGACCCTTGAATGGAGTTGAAGACACAGCAGGGTGGTTGTTTGGGTGAGACGCACGGGGCACCGTGCCCGAGCGAGGGGGAGCCCACCGGTGCCTCCTGCAGATGGCCAGCGTGGAGGCACCTCTGACCAGCATTCGGGGTTCCTGGGCCTGTCTTTTCTGAGGCTTCACACGAGGGAGGCTTGCGGAACGTTCAGCCTTAGTCCTGCTTGTCTTTTACGCGTCAGGACTGTGAGGCGACAGGGAGACACGCCATGCTGTCCAAGTCTTCTGCGGCCAGTGAGAAGCGTGCCTGCCTGGGGGATTCAGCCCTGGGCCCGGCCTCCTGGGGACAGTGCTTGGTGGCCTAAATGCTGGCCACCGACCTCTTCTGAACGGCTGTGCTTGCAATGGCCATGTCAGAGTGCAGGTACGTCCTGCGTGATCTGAGGACACTCATTTCCAAACGCCATCCGAGGGGCCCGTGTGTGCGCGCGTGTGGTGTGTGTGTGAGGCGGTGTGTATGGTGTGTGTGTGTGTATGTGGGGTGTGTATGGGGTGTGTGTATGGTGTGGTGTGTGTGTATGGTGTGTGACTGTGTGGGATGTGTGTATGGTGTGTGTGTGTATGGTGTGTGTATGGGGTGTGTGTATGGCGTGTCTATGTGTGTGTATGGGTGTGTGTATGGGGTGTGTGTGTGTGTGTATGGGGTGTGTATGGGGTGTGTGTATGGCATGTCTATGTGTGTGTATGTGTGTGTGTATGGGGTGTGATTGTGTGCATGGTGTGTGTGCGTGTCCCATGTTCCTGTTCATGCAGACATTCACACCCTGCAAAGGTCCATCCACCCCCAATACCCGGTGTGAATTCCAACAGGAAGAGGTGGCAGGAGCTAGATGTGTCCCTGGGACGCGGGAGCTGCTCTCCGGGGCTGTGGGCGCTGCAGTAGAGACGCACTCCACGCGCTTCCCGGCCTCCCTCTCATGGTCTCGGAGCAGTTCCTTAGAAGGAAGTTCGGCCGTAAATATGCAATGAAAGTTTCTTCTGTTCACAGTCGCAGCAATAATTGGATTATTCCCGTTTAAAGCCCACTTACTCACGCTGCAAGGCAAAGCCTGTCTTCATCCGAAGGAGACATCTTAGGTGAGTTATCAGGAACCCACTCGTAAACGTGCCTTCCGGGACAGCTCTGGGTTAAATAGAAGGTGTGATGACAACAAACAAAGCCACACGCTTATTAAGACGCCTTCATGTGACACATCCTTAAGTACGTGAGAGCAGAGCTCACGGAGTGGAACGCGGGGAATGTATACACACGGCGCAGCAGGAGGTCCCTCCGCCCTGGAGCTCAC